AAAAAAAAAAAAAAAAAAAAAAAAAAAAAAAAAAAAAAAAAAAAAAAAAAAAAAACCTACTAACTAGTTCTAGCATTTTGTATGCATAGAAAACTTAAGTATGTGTAAAAATAAGACAAACTAATTAGTTACAAGTACCTGATGTAATAATGTATTAAAAGAAGCTAAGTGGTCAGAAACTTCGTGATATTCAAGGGATCCACCTAAAAGAAGTAACCTAGCATTTTTGAATTGTGAGGTCATGCGTTTGTGCTTTATGTTTTTTGTACAAACAACTCCCTTTATAAATGTGCTGCAGAAAAAAGATAAACAACTTCAAGACATTAGTCAAAACATCAATATAGACGTGAAGGACATTGAAGCTATTTGTTCAGAAGGATATTCCAAGCTGCAGTATCAAATAGCCATAAGTTATACCTTTCACGAGGGTGTCCCGATGCTACACATTTTACTTTTATATAGTCCCCGGGATCCATGCTGCCTCCTCTGCTAGTATCCGGTCTCACAAAATTTGCAGCTTGCCAGGCTATTGTGGTAATTACATCAACCCAGTCCTCAACAGAATCTCCTCCAGGTTTGATATCCTCCCCCTGTAACAGTTGGGCAACAAGAGCCCTAAAGTGGCCCTGAACCATAGCTCTAAGAGGCTCCTTATTCTCCTCATGCAAATTTTGCTTTGCTGGAAACATGCTAGAAAGGCTTCTGCTCGCAGAGAACATAGCACCGGAATCCCCAATATCATCGTCTTCATCATCATAGGCAAAGAAATTATTCTCCAACTCATCACTTTCATCATCAGGAGGTGGAGGGAACCATATTCGGCCATTGTTTTCAAAATCTAAAAGTGTTTCTGCATTTTCATCTTGGTTCTGAGTAGATGGCAGGACACTAGAGAAGGGATGTTTATTATCATGACCTTCAGTCAGTCTCTCAGACCTATTTAAAATGGTCTCAGCCTCTTGAGGCAATAGATTCAACCTTTGACCTGGATCTACACTCTGTACAACATGATCAACTTTATTTAAAGTATAATCACTCCTTGAGGGGCTGGCAGAAGGACTTGATTCCTCAAAATGAGAACTAAAGAACTCGTTTCTAGTACTAATACTACTCGACTCTATGTCTGAACTGTCACGAAAATAATCACTTGATGGGCTAAAAAAATGTCTCCCAGAATCCTCTCCATCATCTTCATCACTCCTACATTATTACAATAAGATTAGATGAGATAAGTGTATCGAATCATTTCATGTCACTATCCTGTATTAATATTAGAATTTGAAGAATTTGAACAACAAGAAGGGGCAACAACATTTTACATATAATTTGATTTCTTGATTTAAAGTACAAGAATACCAAAAGGTATTAGGAGAAACATGCATTCGAATTCAAAATCAAATGTTACCAGTTGGGAGAGTGGTGAACATAAATAGGAGATGGATGATCATTGAACAAGCACAAAAGCCCATTTGATGCTGCATAAGGAGAATAGCCACAATCTTGTGACTCAAGATATCGACACAAGCGATCATCAGGAATTGATTCGGTTTTCATAGGAGGCTTGTATGTACCATGATAACTAGGAGAAGGAGCTTCTGGGCTATATCTGGGAGAGACAGAAGAATATACTTTCTCACTATGTCTCCCTCCACCTTCACGCCGTAGGTTGCCATCAGAACAAAACTTGCACGACTTGGTTGTCTTCACAGCTTCATTACCCGCCTTCATAACATCTGATTGAACAACATAAGATTCATAACCCCGAATACAGTTTCTGCAAGATGATTGACTACAACTCTGGCACAGGTATACTAGAGAATTTTTTGAGAAGCTCGTATCACACTCACAACACATCTTGTAACTTTTGTTAAGCGCCACAAATTCTTGGGATAAGCACACTGATGAATCAGGTCCCCAGGAAATCCAAGACCGAACCTTCTCAATCAGATCTGATAGAGAACTATCAGGAATTCCCATAAAGATTCAATCATCCAAGAAGAATTAAATCCTCGATGACCCCTCAAAATTGAAACAGTATAAGACCACTCCTCTTTCAAGTTCCAAATATGGAAATCCTTTATTGTCCTTCACACATAATAAGAAAACGGAAAAGGAAAAGGAAAAGGAAAACCTATCCCTTGGAAACAAAATACCCACAAAAGTTCCAATAAAAAAGAAGAAACTGATATTACCCACAATTAAAAATGATGGGGTGCTTTGGGATGTGTATGTAAGAGTCTCAAGACTGTATACTATGTATTTCTTCCCCTCTCTTTCTGTCTCTCAAAATGGGGGCCAAAAGCCAAAGAAGATGAAAAAAATTAACAAATCCTCCAGGAACTATATCAAGAGAAGGATATATAGAAAGCTATGAACAAACCCGAGATACCCCAAAATCTAGCAGTATTTACACCAAAATCCTATCGTAGTTACAACCCCCAAGACCGGAGAACCCAATAAAGACCAGTATCATCACCTACAACAAGAAGAAGGAACCACAAAACGAAACCTTACAGCCTAAATGATGCCAGAGACCTCAAGAATGAATCAGGCAACCGATTTAAGCATCCCAAGGACAGAATCCAGTAAAGAACGATCATATGTAAGAAAGGGTCGAAGATCAGCGAAGAGAGTTAACCTGATTCGATAGACATAAGGAAACACAAATCAAGTCAAAATTAGGCACCCCCAGAAGAACAAAGACCAAAAGAAGACCAGATTGGACTAAGAAAAAGCAGGATCAGATGGAGAAACAGCAGGTAGTGAAGAAGAAGAAGAAGAAGAAGAAACTGGAAAAGGATTTGGGTTTTAAATGCTTGGTAAAATAAGAATCAAAAGGAGGTATAGAAGGAGTACGGAGAAGGTTCCTTTTCTATCGGAATCAGTAGCTCGCATATCGAAGCTGAAAATTCCGTTGCTGTTACCCCAACAACCACCAAGCTCACTGTTCATCATTCCCACCGGAAGAACCATGTGCTGCTTTAATCCACCATTCTTTCGCTTCCCTCCTGATTTCACATCAATTCTTTGCCGGGGTTTTTCTTCTTCTCTCTGTACTCTCTCTTCTGCTCTGCTTCTCTGTCCTTTTATAAATATCGAACAAGAAATCTGCATATGCGGCAGTGCCTCAAAAATAAAAAGAATGATCGAACCCATCAGAGTACTTTTCTTTTGCGTTTAAATTCCAACTTAGCCCTTCAGTTTTCAGCTTATTTCATTTTTGTACATTACTTTAGTAAAAGAAATATATATATACACGGAAAAGTTTTAATTCACCATATTGTATATTTTGGGTCCTTTTTTTTTTTTTTTTTTTTTTTTTTTTTTTTTTTTTTTTT